AGCCTGCCCTGGAGAACCGCAGGGTTGTTGGAGTTGTTGGGGATTTTAAACTATTTTTTTTTTCTTTTTAAATTTCTGCTTGTGGGTTAGAGGTGGCATTAGAAGTCCTGAATTGGAGTAAATCCACTGGCCCACCCAGGGAAGTGTGTTTGGTGTGGGGGCTGCCGGCAGCGTGGACACACACTGGGGGTGACTGATATTTGACCTGATGTTTGTCCACTTGGTGCCACCCATGGGCTGAGAGGGCCCATGTGGTGCTGGACTCAGGTGTACACACTGTGGTGAGTGCATAGAATGTGGACAGGTGGATCCCTGCCTGGCCTTAGTGGGTGCTCCGTGGGATTTCAGAGATCTCTTTCCTAAACCTCACAGATACACTAGGCAGTGTGAGAGAGGAGGAAATGTGGTCCTAGTGTGCCTATTGTGATCGTTTTTTCAGTTTTCCCACTGGTTGTAGTTTTTTCTTTGGATACGGGGTCTGAATATGTTGCCCAGGTGGGCCTTCAACTTCAGGTCTCAATTGATTCTCCTACCTTAGCCTCCTGAGTAACTGGGACTACAGCTGGTGCCACTATACCTTACTGTAAATTTTTACTAAGCACTTGCTATATGCCCATGACTGAGCTAAGTGTTGGGAGTACAGTGGTGAACTAGAAAGATACCACATTTTAGTGTTGGTGATCCTCATTTTCTGGGAAAATCCAGTAATAATAAAGAAAATTCATTCAACATCAAATATTTGTCAACAAATAAATCCCAGGCACTCATTTTAGATTCAGTGAACAAAGCAAGCAAAAACAAATGGGCTTACACCGATTCTGGTGCTGCATGCCTGTAATTACAGCACCCAGGAGGCTGGGGCAGGAAGATCTCTAGTTGGAGACCAACCTGGGCAATTTAGTAAGATCCTGCATGAAAAATAAAATGTAAAAAACAAAGCAGGGTGAGTGCTGAGAATTTAGCTCAGTAATAGAGCACCCACCTATCTAGCATTCTCACCCTGAGATCAGTCCTCAGTACAGCAAACAAAATGAAACAAAAAACTGCCTTTGTTGAGTTTTCATTCTGTTGTGTGTGAAAACAATAAATATGCAATTAATTAAAATGTAATATATTGGGCCGGGGATTTAGCTCAGTGGTTGTGGCACCTGCTTGCCAAGCGCAAGGACCCGAGTTTGCTTCCCTGGTACCAAAAAAAAAAAAAAAAAAAAAAAAAAAAAGGTAATATGTTAAGTGTTTAATACTAAAAGGGAAAAGGAGAGAGAGAACCTGAGAAGTTGAGCTATCAGGAGTGAGGGTTGAACTTACAATAGAGTAGTCTGGGTAGGGTCCCTAAAAAAATGTTCTTTGTTTTGTTTTGGGTGGTGCTGGGGTCACCCAGTGCCTGGGAAGTGCTAGCCAAGTGCTCTAACGTTGAGCTCCACCTCTACCCCCAGATGGTGTCTTTGGAATAAAACTTTGAAGGAAGTGGTACACTAATAATTTCAGACTGTGGTGAGTAGCAGGAAGGAAAGGATTGATTTGAGTCAGGGGCACCAGGAAGCCTTCCCTGAGGAAGTGCTGAGGAGGACCTGGCCTGCAGGGGTGTTGAGAGTTAACCACGTGTGCAGCAGCACGGACAGGCGGACTGGAGGAAGTGAAAGAGGCCCCGTGGGCTGTGGGTTGCGGGAGGACTCGGAGGAGAGGGCCGAGGGGAGAGGGGAAGGGATGAGAGGGAAGGAAACGCCCAGGAGGGGTGGGCCAGGCCAGTCACCCTGGCCTGGGGGAATGCTTTCTCTGTTTAGTTTGGATGGTAACTCTACTGTAATTAGGAACTTTTGCATTTTAAAAGGTCTCCCGCCCCTATGCAGGGAATGTGCTTTGAGATAAGCAGTAAGGCAAGGGTTTCTGAGCCAAGTGGCCTAACTGCCTGAAAGATATTTGGAAAAGCCTCAAGTCCTTGTGCTTGGGGTCTGCTTTACTCAGCTTTAGGAAGGGAAGGGAAAATGAACCAGTGCTTACAGAGTGCCTGCTAGGCAGGAGGACGATTTCAGTGATTTTTGTATACACTGTCATATTTATCTTCTGTACACCTAGGGAAAGAAGTTATTGTACCCATTTTACAGGAAAACGAGTCCAGAGGGGATAGAAGATGTATCTGGAGTCACATTCACAACATAACCTGAATTGGAAGCAGCTCTGCCTGGAGTCAGACTGCTGACATTTACATTTGCTTCTGCTCCTCACTTGAGTTGTTTAACCTCTTCTGTGCCTCAGTTTCCTCATCTTTCTTTTTTTTCTCTCTTGATACTGGGGGTGGAACCCAAGGCCTTCTCATTGAGCTACGTCCATGTTCTTTTTAAATTTTGAGACAGGATCTTGCTAAATTACCTGAAATGGGCTTGATTTGCAAAATCCTCCTGCCTTGGCTGGAGGATCCCAGAGTGCTGGGATCACAGGTATGCACTACCACTCAAGGCTTCCTCAATTTAAATGCTTATAAAAGTAAGTACTCCATAGGCTTGTTGAGCAGATCAAATTAAGCATTTAAACAGTAACACATCGTTCAAAGGTTAGTTGCTATTGTTTCAATTTAAAAATAACTATGTTGCCTCTCAGCCATATTGGGGTCATTTGTGAGACTGACTATGTAGATAATTCAATTCTTGAATTTTGTTCATCACCTTCCTTTTTTCTCCTAATTTACTGCTGTGTTCTATGAGTTAAGTCATTCAACGTTGATCTCCAGTTTTGTGCTTTGACACTGTGCTAGAATTTGTGGATACAGGATGAGTCCTTCCTTTCAGGAGCTCAGTACCCAGGAGAGGTAAAATATTTTAAAAGATGAGCTACAATATCTACTTAAATTCTCTGCTATGGATGTGGTTAAAGAGTTGTTGGGAGCAGTAAGAACTGAATTTCTGGGGGGAAGTTAAGGAAGGCTTCCTGGAGGAGGGGACCTGACCTGGCCTTTGGAAAAATAGTTTTACAGGGAGATAAGATTGTACGTAGATTGTAGGTAGAAAGAGCCATCAGCGTGACAGTGTGGAGCCATGAGAGGTCTTGTTGTCTGGGGACTTCATAAACCACAGGGATGCACCAGAGTCTTAGGTACATCAGATATACTCCACCCTGGGTGTCTGCTTTGGGATCCACCTCTCAGATTCCTAGACCAGAAATTCAGTTTGTAGGGCACTCAGTTGGGTCAAAGGAGATTGACTCAGTTACCACACTTGGAAAAGACTGGTGAGTGTAAACTGACCATGAGGAATGAAGGGGCAGAGTGACAATTGCTTCTGTCCCCTGGAACCCCTCCCCTTTCCTGGCCAGGAATGGATGCACCAACAAACTCCTGCTTCTAATTCCTGTCTTTCTCAGGTGCCGTGAAAACAAACCCTTTCTCTTCACATAATCTTTCCTTATGTACTGTTTACTGCAGGGAGCAGTAATTATTAATTGATAGAATGAATATTATTATTAATACTATTATCAATTGATACAATATTTGAATATATTCTATCATATATGAATATATATCATTAGGGTGGGATCCTATGCTTGTGAAACTTAAGGAAGGAGTATGTATGTGCACACACACACACACACACACACACTGAGGATTGAATTCAGGGTCTCACACTTGCTGTGAAAGTGCTCTACCACATCTCCAGTCCTTTTTAATTTTGAGATAGGATCTCACTAAATTGCCCAGACTGGCCTTGGGTTTGCTGTCCTCTTGCCTCAGCCTTCTGAGTAGTTGGGATTACAGGCTTGTGCACCAGGCATGTTGGCGCATGCCTGTAATTCCAGAGCTCAAGAGAAAGGCAGGATGATCACTGCAAGTTCAAGGCCAGCCTGGGCTTCATAGTGAGTTCAAGTCTGGATTACATAGAGAGACCCTATCTCAACAAAACAAAACAAAACATGAGCCTATGCCACTGTGTTCAGCAGGGGTAACATTTATTAGTCACAACATATCAGAAAAGAGGTATCTTAGTATTAGACTAGGTATCAAGGTACACAGATTCTAAGTGGTGTGGGTAATTTTGTGGCTGAGCAGTGGTGTGGGCAGATGCATTGGCAGTTTTAAGTGGATATCTGTGAACTTTTGAGGATGGCAGGGAGCTTTTGGTTGTATTTGAAAGAGATTGGTTTAGAATCTTCATATCCCTACACATTGAAGACTGAAGATAAAGTAATTTCATACCTTCAGTTCAGTTCAGTCACAGGTGAGCTTTTTTTTTTTTTTTTTTTTTTTTTTTTTT